ATCTTCGTACAGCGAAATGCGGCAAAAGTAACCTCATTGATCACTGCCGAGTTCCCATCACATACACAGTTAGTAAGAAAACTTACATAAGATAGATGGACAGGGTTCGAACCTATTTTGAAAGAAGGAAAGAATCTATCATCAAAACAGAGAGTACACAATCTAACTACGCATAAATACCTTTTCAAGCAATCTGGCTTGATAAAACGCGGCAGCTAGAACGTCAATGCTATCAGTTCGCTGCCATATTCTTCAGTATCTCCAACTGATCAGCTACGGAGTCTTTTGAGACCCCAACACTAACCTTCCTGATTTCCGCTTTGGTCACAAGTTGTATTGGGCCTGAAAGACGTTTGACCCAAAATGGCGTATGATTTGNCTGAAGACCAGTCCCCAATGAACTGCGGTTTTCGCACATCGTCCCATAGGTTTAGGAGTCAGACTTTGTCTAACAAACGGCTCCAGTTGTGAGTTCCCCCAGAAGGTACATCTGCTTCAGCCTGGGCAGGCTAGCAGTATCGTGCCCACGGACAAATCAGGGAATCCTTTCTTTATTATACTAGTTGTTGTACCGTGATTTGTTTGTCACATAATCTGGGCTCCGATATGAGATAAATATCACCAGCTTGCGAACAAGCATGATGCCGGCAATCATCCCTCTCTTCATTTCGTTTGTTTGCTTAGCCTGTCTGTGAGCGAATATTTTTGTTTTATCCCGCCCGGATGTTATCCTTTTCATGTGTTCAATGGTGGTGTAGGCGCTTGGTATCACTTTTTTGTGAGTTTCCAGGTATGAACAACATCACAGTTTCATGTTGGTGGTTCAATGCAATACATTCTTCGTGGTCTATCACTACGGGACCGGCAGTTACCCCTACCACACAGTAGTTCATCGTCTCTGTGCGTTTATCATCCTTTTTACTGTACGATACTACAGCGATGTGAAACAAATAGTGGCGGTTTGTGACTTATGCAGGGAGATCACCTTCAGTTTTTACAACCATCAATAATGCGATTTCGTGCACTGGTTTTGATCACTGTCTTTTGGCCGCCCATTTTGATAAAAGCACTCGCGAAGTAAACGACATCTCCCTACATCTTCAAGTGATCTCTCATCTTCGGAAAATCCTGTATCTGGTAGGGTCTGACTTTTCGTAGCCAAATTATTCAGTGGGCTATCTGTGAACAATAACATCCTTGACCGGTTGACTGATTGCCAGCCTGAATAGAAGTGGAATTGATACTCTGTGCTGTTTCACCACTGCTGAGAGTTCACATACTGTTGAGTTCACACACACACACACACACACACACACACACAGTTCCTCTCCTGCCTCTGCTGTTGAAAATAATTGACTTGCAACACGTGAGAACCAATGTTTTGTACCGAAACGTGTTTGTTTATTTTCGTATTGCTCTATACTTGCAGATTAGAAGGGGGGAGTGTACTAAGTTAGGCTAGCAATCAAATGGTGACACCTATGGTGCAACTGATAGGCCGTGTTTCAGTCTGCTTGAATTCAGTCCAATGGGAATAATCTATCCGGCAATTGAAATTTTTGTCACTGAAATAATAAGGTACTTGGAAATACATATTTTCGATGAACACGTCATTCTAGTCACTTTCTTCTCCGGTTATTGCGGATTAAATACTTGCAGATTGCTTTTCCGACTTCTTTATCTGTTGCTTTTTGCAATTATTGATCGATTCTCTCACTGAATCTCGTCTCCTTTTTTTCCACCCCCAACACTTCAGGGTCTGCGCAATCAGGGTCTGGTGAATCAAGCCATGACAGTGCTTATCCAGCATTGCGATGCGATTTTTATGGGTGATCAAGTCGACGAAACCTTCGCTTTGGGTGATGACTTTGCCGACTCATGGCGCTCGGCCACGAGTGGATTAAACCCGGAACCGTTGGATTTAAAAGCATTCTCTTCTTCAACTTCGTGTTCTTCGTCTTCCGTCAGTCGGTCGTTCTATTCCACTTTGTTCTCCGGGCGTAGCCAGGAGCGGTTGACTGCCGAGAGCACAAACCTCATACCCGGCACAGATCCACCATCTTTATTGGGCTCACCTCAGTATAAAGTTGTTAAGCCCATGATGCCTGCTCTGTGGACCAATCCTCCATCCACTAGACTGATTGGTGTGACCACACATAATAGAGAGTCGACCTCAGCACCGCAGACAGCACCCGGTCGACTTCGAACTCCCGAACTCCGATCAGAACCCAATACACTCACTCTGTCCTCCGGATCTCGGACGTTCTCGACCACCTCAACCACTTCCTCTGGCTCTTCTTCCTCAGGTCTGGACACACATTCAGCTGGTTCGGAAAGCCCCAAGTCTGCTCACTCCGATGCACAGATCTCGCACAGCGAACCGGGTGCTAATCTGATGTCTGAACTGAATTTTCCCGAGTATGTATATACGTATTCTATTGCTCGCATATCTGGTATAGCGGCCTAGGGTGAATCCCATCTACTGCATCCGTTCAAGGTGTGACTGAATGTTGTTGATAAAGCCGCTAGTTCATTGAGTCAATTTTTATGCGCATCAGAATTACTTGCATCCTGTTCTCAGCTCTTAACCTCTTTTTTGTTCAACCAAATGGATAATCGTAAGATAGCAACCCTAGCTGGGCACCAAAGTGCATATTTAATAGTAGCGTGTAACGAAATTGAATAACGTTTTAGGCTGTAGTGTATTATTTTTAATACTGAAAGAAACTTTGGTTGGAATATGTAGTGTATCGTGTCCCATCATCAGTTAAGCGCTCTCAACAGCATATAAATGTCGATGCCACTATGTACACCCGATTGGGAGCCCCAAAGATATCATATGATATATATGTCACACGTATTTAAGTTCACACTGTGTGACAACTGAATCACGGTACAAAAATATTTCTAATATCTCATTGATTTGTTTGTGGGTGTAACAATGTCAGGTTGAACAGGCCAGAGCAGACTTTGCTTGAGTAATTCATAGCCGGAGTCTTCGGCTAGCCAAAGCTTCATGATGATGGCGCGTGAAACCGCAGTCCATTGGACGCCGGTGTCTAGTACATTGAATCGTGCACCGTTTGGACAGGGTCAAACGTTGAAGGTTTTCAGTACACCTCGATTGCCCAATCGAGCTTTTGACTACTAGGGAGATGTGTGGTTCTTACGCCTCTTCTTAGTTCGTTTCAAATCAGGGTTTTTAGCCCGTTTTCCTAGGAGAATTACCGGTAATCTACCGACCCGATTGTAGCCCCGGAAAGTGATTTTGTTGGTTCTCTGCCATGGGCAGAGAAGTTGAACTCCCTCAGCAGAAGCCATTTGAAAACTTCGTCCTTAATAGAACATTTCACGAGGTTCATGTCAGGGGTGAACGGCCACCACCCAAGCCCTCCCCTCCCCACGACCATGCAGAGGCTTTTGATGTCAGCACGATTGGATTATCATCCACACCTTCGTGAAACTCCGCAAAGAGTTAGATTTATCTTACAATATCTCAGTGAAGTTCATCTACCGTCACTGAATTAACTTGGACGTTTGTAAGTTGTTCTATTCACTTGTGTTCCATCTTTTCAGTTCACAGGTGTGATCAAAGTTAATTGGTTATGTTTTCTTTGTAACCATTGTCTGAAAGCTGCAATTTCATTCCGTTCAGTTTTTGTTTATTTCTGGGCCTGGCTGCAACTGAACTAAAACACTCCGCGGTTGATGGACTGAAATCGATCTTTACATGCTTGTCTCTCCCTCCCTCTCTTGTTTTACCATACAAAGGCGTGTGTGTGCTAGTCATTCGTAGACTCTTTTTGACCTAATCCTACCGACGACATCGTCCCAGCTGTTTACCATCCACTGAGATTTTTATATGTGGGCAAACGAACAATCTGTGTCGGCCAATATTTTTCTGTCTCTCTGGGTTTGTGTACGTACGCATTGTTGTTGGCCTTTTTTCGGTCGCGAATTTTTTATTGCTACCACCATTGGAGCAAATCAAACGATGTGCTCCATTTGGAGAACATTATGCGCAATACAGCCTTGCAAAAATGTGCCATTTTACAGACCTCGGGTGCTCTGACGGTGATCACATCACTACCTTTGTAGGTTCGTCTTTCCCAACCCCCAACCCTTGTCCCCACCTGGAAATCATTACCTCGATCAGAATTGGTAAAACAAATGGAACATTTTATCATAAGAAGGAATTTTTGATTTCCGTTAAACGATCGTCTTGATGTCTTGTAATTGATACGATGAAATGTGTTTTTCTCGAGTTTGTAGCAGGTGATCGATGATTCACGTAAGCTGCAAATACTGTTATTCTGATCGTGAACTGATCCTTATAGTCAACTTCTCTCGCTATCCAATGGGACCGGAAGTATTTTCACACGCGCATTTGAAATTTTTCCGTTTCCCAAAATGTCCACTATGCCGAAGAAAGATTGAAATGCTGAGAGTAGAGCGAAAGAGAATTCATATCTGAGAAGACTATGCACACCAGGTATGCCTATTCCCAAGGGATGAACGGCAGTAGATAGGATCAATATTGATAGCCACTTATTCATCGATTTAGCATGATTGATTTTCCATTCAAATTTCCCAATCTGCTACAGTCGTACGCTTCCTCTGGCTACTTTCATTTCGCGCGCGCATGCGCACACACCCGCTCAGACTACCTAAGAATATACTGTAATCTCAACCCTGCTTTTAACTCCTCAATATAGCCGTTATGCTGTTTACCATTCATGACGAGTGAACAGCCGTATCTGATTTGCCCGTTTCCCTTCACGGAGCTGATTCATCTCGTTTGTTTTGGTTGCACGAGAGCTAAACAAATCTTCCCGGACTGTCATATGTGGTTATCATCCCCATGCCTGTGGTCATTCACACTTGTTTGTCACTTGAATATGACAGTCCTACGCATATACAGGTCACACAGTGAGTCACTTAATCGTTAGTTCATCCACCTCGGCTGACGCTGGAACCGGTTAGTTGACCGGGGTGGGGTCGTGTAGGGGTTATTGAAAAAGTGGTCGGTAATTTGTTGTTGTTCTTTCTCCCCCGTTCGCGTCAGCTTTACCATATTTGTCACAACCAGTCACAGAGATCGATCAGATTCATCAGAAACAGACTTATTCAATAGATAGTTATCGTCTGGTTGTTGCGATTATCACGGTTCGGTTGGTGGGGAAGTCGCAGTCAAAACAGAATTTGTTGTGTATAGAGCCAATGAAGAGTGAACTGATAAACCCAGAAGCACAGTACAATATCGACCCACGTAAGAATCCGATCCGGGACCTTACTCGCCGAACGCAAGCATGCCAACCACCGGGTAGCTGATCAGACCGCTTTTCATTT